TCCCTCCCTCCCTTCCTTCCTTCCTTCCTTCCTTCCTTCCTTCCATCCATCTGAGTCAGCAGCCTAAACTCTGAAGCATGCAGACTCTGATTGGTCCATACACTAGCACACGCACATACACCCACACCCTCCTCTCTCTGGCTAAGATTCTCTGCTTCTATTGTTCTTGTTATTGAGAAAGGTGCTCGCTATGTAACCCAGTCTAACCCAGTCTAGCTTCTAGCACATTATCCTCTTTCCTCAGCCTCCTGAATGCTAGGATTACAAGCATATGCCACCACACCCCAACTTTCTTTTAATTAAAAACAGCTCTTTATTATGTAGGCAAAATATATTTGCTGTATTTTAAAATACAAATAAACATAAATTTATAAGTAAAACAAGATTTTCAATTCCAGAAAGAGCCAGTATTTAAACATACAGTTTTTTGTTGCTATTGCTGCTGGATTTTGTTTTTTTTTAACCTTTTGAGACAGGTCCTCAAAGTCTTAGTCCTCTGGCTTCCACCTCCCAAGTACTGGGATTGCAGGTATGTGCCACCATGCCCTGCTCACCATCTAATTTTAAACTCATGTTTTAGTTGAGTAGTTTTTTTGTTGTTACTTCACCTTTTAATTTTTTTAAACCAAGATTACTATTTGAGGCATAGTACTGCTTAGATAAAATTTGAGTTTTTGTATTCACTATAACTAGGAACTAAACTTAAATTTTAAAAATTACACTTATTGGGCTGGGCGTGTTAGCACACACCTTTAATCCAAGCACTGGGGAGGCAGAGGCAGGCAGATCTCTTGTGAGTTCAAGGCCAGCTTGGTCTACAAATGGAGTTCCAGGCCAGCTGGGGCTACAGGGAGGCCTTGTCTCAAAACTACCAAATCTAAAAAATTTTTTTAAATTATACTTATGTGGGTCCAAGGAGATGACTCAGTAAAGTGCTTGTTGTGTACGCATGAAAACTTCAGTTTAGGTCTTGTTACTTATGTTAAAAAGGGGACAGAGGCTGAAGAGATGGCTTAGCGGTCAAGAGCACTGAATGTTCTTGTAGAGGACCCAGGTTCTATTCTCAGCACCCACATGGTGGCTAGCAACTGTCCATAACTCCAGTTCCAGGGGATCTGACACCCTGGACTGACACTGGTGCACTTATATACATGTAGGCAAACACGCATATACATAAAATAAATTTTTTTAAAAAAGAGCTAGGCATAATACACAAGCCTATAATCCCAGCACTTGAATTGGTGAGCTCCAGGTTCAGTGAGAGACTCTGCCTCAGAAAATAAGAAGGAGAATAATTGAGGAAGACACCTGACATCATCCTCTGGCCTATCCAGGAAATAATTATATATGGGTTTTACTTGGCAAACATGTATTAAAGAATCAAGTTTTTTTTATTTTGTGTTAATAAGTAAACTTCCTTTTTACAATGTTTAATAAAACTTCACTCTTTTGTAGATAGCTTGTTGAGTGCTATACTGAGACTCTTTCAGGAAGTAAAAAGCTTTCAGGATGTTGCCTCATTAGCCCACATATATCCATTATTTTTTGTCTTCCTTTCATATTTTAGAATATCTGGGTCCCTTTTTTTTCCTTTGAGCAACATTCTTATAACAGATGTCCTCTTAGGATATATAACCTACTGTGCTAATACTTATATTGTACCAAATACTGTGTTGTTAGAGCTTTTCTTATAAAGTTTCCTGTTAGAGTTTCAGATATATGGAAACATTTGTAGGGGTGTACAAGACTACAGAGGATTAAAGAAATAAAATGCCTTTGGAATCTGTTTGAATGTCAAAGCTTTAAAATAAAAAAAAATTATGTAGCTCAGATATACCAGTTAAGTAGCAAAATAAATACCTTTAACCTATTGTGTAAATTATCTTTAAAAAATTCTATTTCTTGGGCTGGAGAGATGGCTCAGTGGTTAAGAACACTGACTGTTCTTGCACGAGACCTTGGTTCGAATCCCAGCACCCACATGGCAGCTAACAACTGTCTGTAACTCCAGTTCCAGGGAATCCAATAGCCTCTTCTGTCCTCCACGGGCATTGCACGACACAGGTGTACTTACCTACATGTAGGCATACACATAAAATAAAAATAAATAAAATGTATATTTTTTAAATTCTATTTCTTAGCCAGCCAGCACTTGGGAGGCAGAGGCAGGCAGATCTCTGTGAGTTCCAGGACAGCTGGCTCTACAGGAAGACCCTGTCTCAAAAAGACAAAAAAATAAAAATCCATTTCTTGGGGCTAGAGAGATGGCTCAGCAGTTAAGAGCACTGGCTGCTCTTGCAGAAGGACCTAGGTTCAGTTCCCAGCCCCCACATGGCAGCTAACAACCATGGATGTTGCATTTATGTGATGCACTTACATGCATGCAGGCAATATACTCATACACAAAATGAAAAAAAAGACATATATATATATATATGTTTGTATAAATTATTTCTAGTGCCTTTTAAACTTGTAGAGAGTCAGGTGTGGTGGTGCATGTCTTTAACCCTGAGCACTTGAGAGGCAGAGGCAAGTGGATCTCTGTGATTTCAAGGCCACTCTGGTCTTCATAATGAGTTTGAGGCCAGTTGGAGCTGTGTAGTGAAACCCTGTCTCAAAATAAATAGACAAATAAATTTGTAGAAAATTGAAGATTATTTACAACTGTAGTTTTTATGGAGACTTTTTTTTTCCCCTAGAAGTAGTCCCTTGTAATTTAGAATTATTTTAACTTCTATTGGAGTTGACATTTTTAAATGATAAAAACAGCATCCGGATAGTTTTAAGACATGCTTCTCAGACCATTTCTTGCCCTTGTCTGCATAAAGCAACAATCATTTTCAACTAATTTACTTTGTGACATAATTTTGTTAATTAACTACCACAGGACTTAGATTGTATGGGATAAATGATAGAAATGGCTGCCCTCACTTTCCTTGCCTTTATGTTACAGAGTGATGGGTGTTGTCATTTAGCAATGGGTTTTATAAACATTGTATAAAGCTTCACCTTGCTTCATTCTGGTACAAAATGCCTTTCATTTTAAAAGGTCATTCCATCCCGTTATCTCTAAATATCTTTCTTTCTCTGCCTTGGTTTTAGACTAGGTTCATTATACTACTAGTTCCTAATATATGTTTATTCATTATTTGATATACTTGTTTTAATATATGTTCTTGTTTTAGCAGGTAAAAGAATCATAACTTGTTTTTTAAGAAAACATTAATATTCTTTAATTTCTGTCTTTATGCATTTTGCACGTCATCTTTTGTCATTAACATCTGGGGACTTTTATCATAAAAAGAAAAATTCCTATCTTTAACAAGAACTTTTCTAGGAGCTAGTTTAAATATTAACAAATCTCCTACTGGCACCTCCCATCCCTCATGAATGGTGTGAATCTTTAACTTTGGCTGCATCCTTGAAAGCTGATAGTTACTCATAGTCTAACAAAACTAGAGTCACCAAACTTGGCAGCAGAAATAATCTGAGTCTTATTGTGACAACTACCTGGATCACATTATTTTTCCAGCTTCAATTCGGAATATTTTGTGGAAATATTTAATACTATTTGTGCCTTTCAAAACTCGGGAAAACTCAGAGTAAGAACATTGAATGAGTTTATAAACTGTCTGAGAGACTCCCATTTTAGTATATTTGTATTTCCTTAGACAATTGTCCAACAATAAAAATTGATGATTATAAAAAATGACTTAAAAGTATAGTTCATCTCCAGGAAGGGAATATAAGGTAGGTTGGGTGAATTAGAACCCATCTATTTTGCATACGTAATTAGAATTTAGTTAGTGACTAGTTTGTATAAATAGTGCTTAAAAATTAATGGTAGGACCAAATGTGGCCATGTCTCACTTTTCTAGATAGTCCATAACTGTATGCTTATATCAATGCAAGTTTCTTTACTTTAAAACAGCAATTCGAAAGAAAACTAGCCCTGTTCCTTAAATTTTATTTGTGGCCCATAGACCTGGTTTGGTTCTCTGATATATTTCCAAAACTCCAATGTAAACTTTAGCCTTAGAGTCTTCATAAATGATATATTCCTCAACTGAAGTAGATCCTCTTATTTCTGAGTGTCTTTTAGAATTAATGAATTAATGAGCACACAGACATACAGATTGGTAGTAGTAGAAGTACGTGGAAAGCCTGTGGTCAAACTCCCCGAAGTAGAAGTCTGAGTGGTATCTTGAATTCAGTAAGAGAAAGTTAACAAGAACTCTTGACATATACTCGTGATCAAGTTTTATGAGTTACAATTTTTGTTATGTTTTGTTGTTTTTTGCAGTTCAGGGTATCAAGCTCAGATCCTTACACATAATATGAAAGTTTGCTATACCTCTGTACTATATCCCCAGTCTTGTTAACTGTTTGCTTTTGATATAGAATCTCACTGTGTAGTTCAGGCTGGTCTCAAACTCATGATCCTCCTTCCTCAGCCTCTTGAGTGCTGAGACCTGGACCACCCTATTGAAGTTTTTAAGTGTTATGTACACACTTATTTTTAATTGGTGATGACATCTACATAATTGACCATATAGTTAACCACTGGTTTTATTTATTTTTGCAGTATTTTATAATTGAACCCAGGGCATTCCTTATGCTAAGCAAGTGTTCTACCACTGAGTTATGCCCTCAGTTCTATTTTGTTGTCATTGGCATTGATTGTAGTTTTTAAGACAAGGTCTTGATCTGAAGCCCAGGCTAACCTTGAGCTTACTATGTAGCTATGGCTGTTTTTGTTTGGGGAGGGGTTGTTTTTTGTTTGTTTGTTTGTTTGTTTGTTTAAGAGGCAGAGTCTTTGTTATCAAGGCTAATCCTGAACTCCTGGGTTCAAGCATTTCAGCCTCTTAAGTAACTGGGCTGACAGGCACATGCTGCCACACCTGACTACCAGTAATTTTGTTGTGGTTGGTTGGTTGGTTGGTTGGTTGGTTTGGTTTGGTTTGGTTTGGTTTGGTTTGGTTTGGTTTGGTTTGGTTTGGTTTTGGATTATTTGTTCGTTTTCTTTTGTTCGAGACAGGGTTTTACTAAGTAGCCCTAGCTGGCTATGTTCAATATGTTCACTATGTCACAGAAATCCACTTGCCTCTGCCTCCCAACTGCTGGGATTAAAGGTGTGTATCATCACGCCTGGCTACTAACTACCATTGGTTTTAAGTATATAGAAGCAAACTTCTCTTTATTACTGTTGTGAATTTAAAATGCAAAATTGTACCAAACCAGTATGTCCTAATCTTTTTCTCTGCTGCCAAATTTGGATAATCTCTGTTTGAAAAATAGAGATTACTAAATTAAATAGTTGCACTGCATGAATACAGGTTCTGAATTCTCTTCCCGTGGATTCTTAAGTTATATAGTGTGTTTCCCTGCATTTCCATGCACCTTTCCTTGTCCCCTATCACTCCTGGTATTGATAACTCTAAAACTTTCATCCTGTCCTTCTCCCATTTTACCCTCTCCTCCACTTCTGAATGTGCTTAATTGATGTGAAACCCTAGGACATTTAGCCTATACAATAATAGACTCGACTTGTCCCCCTGTTCCTCCAGGAAAGGAAGTTCTTCAAAGGCTTCTTTGGAAAAGTAAGTTTGCTGCCACAATTGTGCTTGTTCTATAAGGAGTTACACCCTAGTATTACAATGATAATTAAGAGTAAAGCTTTGGTTTCTATATGAAACAGAAATAGATTTGACTATATGTGAAAATTAATGAATTAATTGCTATCTATGTATTACCTGTTTTTCTTTTGATACTAAATCTAATCTCTAGGAAAGTCCAGTAAATGAATTAAATTAGTTTTTAAATGATCTCTTCAGTACATGCTATTGAAATAAAGCTTATTTGATCCTGCAAAACTTTTATTAGCATATAGCTATGTTGTTTTTGTTTTTGTTTTTGTCTTTTTGAGACAGGGTCTCTCTGTAGCCCCAGCTGTCCTGGAACTCACTATGTAGACCAGGCTGGCCTTGAACTTACAGAGATCCGCCTGGCTCTGCCTCCCCAGTGCTGGGATTAAAGACATGTGCTACCACACCCAGCTATAGCTATGTTTTTAACAGGTAGATTTTATTTAGGGCCCAAGGTACCCCAAATTTTACATTCAGTGCTATTACTTATTTTAATCTAAGTTAAATTTCAAGGGAATAAGTGAAAGTACATAAACTTACCTTTGAAAATACTGCTTTTAGTGTGGATTGATAATCTAGGAAAATCTATTTTAATAATCAAATCTGTATCTTGGAATGTTTATATAGATACGAGACTCCTTTTCTGGGAATGAGTGTTCACTCTTCAGCTCTTAAGAAATACAAGGTCTGGGGATATGCCTCAGGGGTAGAGTGCTTGCCTAGCATTAGCCTGTATGAGGCTCAGGGTTTCATCTCCCAACACTGGAAAAAGAAAAAAAAAAAAAAAAAAAAGAGGGACTGGAGAGATGGCCCAGTAGTTAGTTAAGAGAGCTTGCTGCTCTTGTCAGGGACCTCAGTTCCCCACACCCACTTCAGATAGTTCACACCTACCAATAACTTCTGATCCACAGGATCCCATGCCATATTATGGCCTCCGTGGACACCTACACACACACACCTAATTTTAAATTTTTTAAAAATTAAAATTATGGACTGGGCATGGTGGTACACACCTTTAACCCCAGCACTGGGTAGATCTCTGTGAGTTCAAGGCCACCCTGGTCTACATACTGAGTTCCAGCCAGCTGGGGCTACAGGGAGACCCTGCCTCAAAAAAAAAAAAAAAATTATGACACAATTTTAGAGGAAAATTACAGCTCTTACCTCAAAGTTAATCCCATTCTGACAGTAATCATTGTAATATATAATAGGGTTATGGTACACCTATAATGTAACTGAATAGGGTCATACTGTGCTTATTAGTTTCTTTTCCTGTTGCTGTGATAAAATACTCTGACGAAAGCAAGTTAGGGAATAAGGTTTATTTTAGCTCATAGTTCAAGGCCATATCCACCATAGCAGGGAAGTAAAGTCAGCAGGAGCTTGGAGTACCTGGTTGCATTAAGTCTGCACTATGTCCCCAGTCAGAAGATAGCAATGATGCTAGCATCCAACAGTTTTCCTCTGCTTGTACAGCCCAGGGTCCTCTGCCTAGGAAATAGTGATACCTACAGTGTCTTCCAGTATCAATTAAGATAATTAAGATAGCCAGGCATGGCATAGGATGCCTTTAATCCCAACACTCAGGAGGCTGAGGCTGGTGGGTCTCTGTGAGATCGAGGCCAGCCTGATCTACAATAACAAGTTCCAGGCAAGTTGGGGCTACAGGGAGACCCTGTCTTTAAAAACTTTATACGCACACAAGTTCTGCACAGACATACCCACAGGTCAGTCAAATCTAGACAATCCTTCAATGAGATTTCCCTCCAGAGTGATTCCAAATTCTGTCAAGTTGGCAACATTAACTATTACAGTGATGAACTTATGCTATAAAGAAGAAAATTATGAATCATTTTAAGTAAGTAACCTTGAATTATTCTGTTAAATAATGAGAAAACTGAGGTTTACAGAAATCAAACAACATGCTTGATCTGAAATCCAGTAAATGATGGGAACTTATGGGTGTGCGGGGATCTCGGGGCGCCAGCTGCTGGGCCTGGCGCCGGTCTCCCGCGGGCCGCTGGGGTGCAGCGGGTCGCACACCGCATTGCTGGGGTGCACGCGTGTCCCGCACCACGTTGCTGTAGGTCTCCGCGACTCCTGGGTGCTGGCGACTCTACTGATCGCTGCCTCCCAGGCAGGTTCCGTCCCAATCTACCATGCACTCCCTCAGGGTTCAGCTGCCGGGTCACGAGGGGAGGTGCAGGACGGCGAAAGCAGGGTCTCCGTGGGTCGTGGTTTACGAAGAGACAGCTCTCTCCGGGAAGACTGGATCGTAGGCAGTAAGACACAGAACTCAGCTCAGTACAGCTCCTTTATTCAGTGACTCAGCTCGGCTCCAAGTCTTAGTGATTCAGCTCCGATTAATTAGGGGGAAACCAGGATATTTATACTGTGGGGGCAGTGGCAAAAGCCTTAGTGGATAGGTGCTTTCAGGATGCCCCATTTACATGTGGTGGTGGGCTTCTGCCAGGCTGCCAGACATTGCCTGATTATCACACAGGAAAACCTGGCAGTTTCAGAGCCAGAGGCCATGTATCTGTGGCAGCTACTTCAAAGATGAGTTAGGAAGAGAGGTAGGAAGCCCCCTGCTGAAAAGAGGAGTCTTTCCATCAGGCGCCGAGCTCCTTAGAGCTATCCGGACATGGAAGACTGTGACCCTCACAGCAGGATTCCCCAACATCTCCCCCTTTTTTATTTAAATATGGAGAAGTGCTATCACCAGCCCTAAGGGCCAACTCATCTGTCTCGGGAGAATCCAAAGTCTGATAATTGACCATGGCTTGTTTTGTAGTGATTTTAGCAAATGGCAGTAACTGTCAGCAAAGAAATCTTAAAAAACAGTGAGCAAGCATAATACACAGTATCATCAGAGGACAATAAGGAATAGAAGCCATGCAAAACAAGGGATTGCTAAGCTAAATAGATTACAAAGTTTTGAGAGTGTTAACATTGGTTTCAACAACATCTGATTCAATTACAAAGAAACAGTATCTTCCCAATATTACATAGTCCCCATGTTTAACAACTATTAAGTACAATGTTCTTTTATTCTGAGAGAGTATATTTTCTGTTTCAGGCTGTCAGTCACTGATGTCACAGCTCGTCGCAGAGAGATTTTATTTGTTGTTTGAGAGATATTCTAGGCTGTCAGTCGCGGATGCCACTGTCTGGTCTAGCTTGGCTCGGAAATCTGCCAGGTGCTGGGCTTGTAGTAGTTTGTCGCCATAGCAATGCCTCCAGCATCCAGGGAAGGTGTAAGTTCGATCTCTACCAGCAGGGGAAAGAAGATTTTTCTCTGCTAGCAGCTGTGTAGGAGGAAAGGGCTTCTTCCATCTGGAATGTACTAGTACACAAAAGGTGTACACAGTTTTGGGCTTCTTTCTTGTACCATATGAAGAGAGGAGGGGCGATGCATGCTGTGCTGGAGAGAGTAGTTAGTGAGGCATTTGTAATGAGTAGGCTTGCTTGCTGAAAATGAAAATTAAATAATTAGCCAGTTTGAATCAGTAGGTATCCACTAGATGAGAGTCAGTGAAATCTTTTTCTGTTAAAAAGGCAGTTAAACATTGGGGTAGGTGGTGAAGGGAAGAAAGTTAGACTTGTTCCAGGACATAGTCGATCTTATCTGGTCCTCTGTTTGTCTTTCCTGTAGAATAATATTATGACAAGTTAGCACAGACTTAGCTGCAGGTGCAAGCTGTGGAGAGATATGAAAGTCAGCTGTGGGGTACCTAGAGCATGCACCTGAGTAGAATTCTGTTATTACTCCAATACTCCAGCGATTGTCCCATGGATCTGATTTTTTCCTGAAAAATAAAATCTCTAGAACATGGTATTAGGGAGTGTCGGGGGAAAGTTAGCTGTGGGGTACCTAGAGAATGCACCTGAGTAGAATTCTGCTATTACTCCAACATGCCATCAATTGTCACATGGATCTGATTTTTTCCTTGAAAAATAAAATCTCTAGAATATGGTATTAGGGAGAGTGGGGGTTGGCTGAAGTGTTGGTGTTAAGCAGGGTAAAGACAGCCATGAGGATGACAGAGAAGGAGGCTCCAGGGGGACATCTGTGGCGTACAGTCCCCACCAGGTCATGGATCTCTTTCCACGTGATCCGGTGTGGCTTTGGGTGTCATCTTTGCCTCTTTCTTTTTTTTGTTTCTGATAGGGTCATGCAGGCCATCTTTTTCGTGGGTGGGGAGGTGTTGGACATTTCTGGCTGGAACCCAGATAGGCTTTGGTTGATCCTGTGGGAAAACACAAGCAAATCCTCTCCCTGTGGTCAGCAATGGATCTGGTCCTTTCCAGAGTCCATCAAAGGGGTCCCTCCATCTAACCATGATGGGTGGTACTGGGTGTGTCTGGGCCCAGTGTCGGGTGATGGGGGGAGCATTAGTCCCTTGATATACATTAAGTACATTAAGGGTAAACAAGGCTAATGTTAATTGAATATTGGGAGAATATGTTGTTTGAGCCTGTCTTTTTAGTTGGTTTTTAAGGTTTTATGTGACCTTTCCACAGTGGCTTGTCCTTGTGGGTTGTATGGGATGCCAGTGTGATGGGTGATTTTCTAGGCTTCACAAAAATTTTTAAATGAGGAACTAGTAAATGCTGGGCCATTGTCTGTCTTTAGTTGTGCAGGGAGGCCTATGATGGCAAAGGATGAAAGCATATGATTTATTAGATTTTTTGAACCTTCACCAGTCTGGGCAGTAGCCCAGAGGAAGTGAGAGTAAGTGTCTATAGTTACAAATACATATTTTTGTCTGCCGAATTGGGGGACATGAGTTACATCAATTTGTCAGAGGGCATTAAATTTTAGTCCTCTAGGATTGGTGTCCATCTGTTGTATAGCAGGGGTATGTATCATTGATGTACAAGAAGAGCAGGTTCTAACAATGTGTTTAAGTTGTTTGAGGGGAATGTGGGGGAATCTGAGATGGAGCACTTGC